GATATAACAGTGAAGAAATAGTCCTTTTTTCTAGGTTGAGAGAAGATAGTAATCCTGGGGAAGGAGACAGTTGGACTGATTTGAGACATATCTAAAATTTGTGTTTTGTTAAAGGAGAAAGATTGGAGGCAATATGTTTTAACGAACTATTGCCATAGCCCAAGTGTAAAGGATCAGGGGTCTGGATTGTGATAGTGACAGTGGGAATAGAGGAATAAAACTTAACTTTTGAAAAGTTGTTTCCACGGGGCAATTATGTATAAATTATATGAAGTGATGAAAAGAAGAGTTCCAGATTTAGCCAAGGGTGTGAGTCCCGGCAAGTGAGGGATACTAGGTTTATGATGGAAATGAAAATCATAGTCATCCATGGACATGTATTTATGGGGATAGTACGTGTGAGTGGAAATAGCCCATGGTAACTAGGAAAAGGGAACTGGGGAAAAGCCAGGGCTAGCAATACTGATTTGGGTGTCGTCTGCATAGAGATGACAGGATTAGTTAGGTGAGTAAAAGAGAACAAAGAATTTTGGGATTGGATGAAAAAGGTAAACAAATTAATAAAAGAAACAGAGATGGTCACAAAAGTTTTAAAAATCCAAGAAGTTATAGTGTCATAGGATCTGAAGATAAGAGCACCAAATACTGCACAGAGAGCAAGTAGTATGAGAGGACTATGAATGAATACTGGATATCAGAAGTGCTCATTGGAGACCCTTGGGGACTGGGTAAGAAAAGGCATTGGTGACCAAGTCAGATTTCAGAGGCTCAAGCAGTGATGATAGATTGGAAACAGATAAAGGAGACAGTAACAAAATGGGGTAAAAATGTCAAGAAAACTTTTTCAAATGGAAAGTTGTTTATGATTGACAAAAATATGGAAGATAATGATGGAGAGGCAGATTTAAGATGCTTCAGAGGGAGAGAGTATGTTGTCTCCTGTCAAGTTTCTTTATCTCTAGTCTCACCTGTATTCTTCCATTGTCTGTATCGATGACGGTTATGTCAATCCCCTGCTGAAAGACACCTCTGGGTTCCTCAGTGCCAGGGCAAATCCAGCATCTTTAGCATAACTGACAGGATGCCTACGCCCTGGTTCTGGCCTTCCTTTCCCATTTTATCTTTTGCCACTCATGGCACAGATTTCAGATGGTTTCCAGGTGGGGGTCTTTGTATACATTGTTCTCTCTCTGCCTCAAAGATCTTCCCTCCCATCTTCCCCATGGAAGGCTCTTAACTTATTCTTAGCAGCTGACTGAAATGTCACCTTGTTTTTGAACCCTTTCCTGACTCCCAGGTTCAGTTCAGGTCTCCCTTTTTGGTGAATCAACTGTAAGTTCTCCATTTATATTTTTGTCTTAGCATTCTGCATTGTAATTCATCAGTTTCCATAGCTGTGTTCTCTGTTAGACTGTATGATCTCTGAATACAGAAACATTTTTGTTGTTGTAATCCCCATGACTGGCACAAAAACAAACTCTTGCTAAGGTATATAGATAGGATGGAAGTGAAGAAGCATCGTAGTGCAAAGTGAAATAAGCCAGACACAGAACTACAAATCTGAATGATCTCATTTATGTGTGGAATCTTAAAGGTGAACTCATAGAGCCAGAATGTAGAATGGTGGTTGCCAGAGGTTAGAGTATAGAGGAAATGGGGAGATACTGGTCAAAGGGTACAGACTTTCATTTCTAAAATGAATAAATTCTGAGAATCTGTTATGCAGCATGGTGATTATAATACCGTGTTTTACACTTAAAATTTGCTAAGAGAGTACATCTTAAGTGTCCTCACCACATACACACAAAAATGGATTTGTTAATTAACTTGACTGTGGTAATTATTTCACAATGTTATACAGATTAAATCATAATATTGCAGTACTTAAAAATCATATTGTGCAAAGTAAATATATACAATTTTTATTTGTCAATCATACCTTCAAAAAATTGTGGGGTGGGGGATGGGAGCTATATTAATTTGAGTAAGTTAATTCTCTGAACCTGAGTTTCCTATTGATCAACCAAGGATAATACTTACCAAGTCATGTCGTCCAAGTTATTTCCAATTCTCACCTTCATGGGATGATCTCTTAGTAGTTTCTCTCAGGTCTTTCATTTGGCTGCAGCTTTAATCCATTCTCTAATGAGTTTTTTGTTTGTTTTTTAAGTTAAATTTTGATGTTAAGAAATTTAAACTCAAGTCCATCTTTATATGGCTGTATTTATTTCATCTACCTAAATGATGCTGTCTGATTAACCACACCCAATCCGGCATCAAGTGAATTCAACAAAAATCTAAAGTTAAATATGATTTAGTAAGTTCACGATTAAGTCTGAATTGTTTTATGAGTCTTCCGGAGGAGGCTCTTGCTTTGAGGCTCACTGCACTGAATCTGAGGACACCCTGTTTGTCTTATCTTCAGGGTAGTATTGTTCTGAATGATTTAGATCAGCTCTTTACATGTTTTTAGCAGAATTTTCGTGGCTAATGAAAATGGAGCTTACAGCTTTTTTGCATAGATAAAGGAAAAGATTCCACATCAGATTTAGATCAAGAGGTAGACTTTCAGAAGAAAATGATGGATGTGTCCTCTGGGAGAGGAGGAATGCAGAGATGTTCTGTCTCTGACTGATGGAGTTTACAGCGTTTAAGAAAACGTCCACGCCCACACCCACGCAAGTACACAAACAGTGGTCACAACTGCAGCTCCAGAGGCTGCTTCCCTCCCCAGGCTCATTTCTAAAGTGCATCTGTTGTTTTCCATAACATGAAATAAATCCCTCTCTTTTGCCCAGTGGTGAAAAGCTTATATAAATACTAAAACTTCAACTATTCCCCTGAGTTTTCTGTTGGCAAGCCTGCAGCTATGGGTTTGTTTGGATATTGACATGCATTTTCTGTGTAGATATTTCAGGCCACTTGGGTGAGTCCAGTGGTGATAAATTCACTTGTCTGGAAAATTTATCAGACTAAGCCTTCTAACACTCTGTTTATGAAAACTTAAATAATTGACACTGTGATTAAAAAGGCTCTGGGTTTGAAGCATCTCTTATTTTTTCAGCATATATCATTCTAGTGATATACATCTATATGTATTTTAGGAAGTCTTGGCTTGGAGATGACTTGAACAGTTATTGAAAAGAAAATATGGCTGTGAAGAATTGATTAATGCAAGACATTTAATCTTGCATCGTAGTGTTCCCATGAGGGAATATTTTTCAATATTTAGAAATGAAGTATTTTATTGTGTACTAAGTGGAGATAATTAACATTACTTGGCTTTAATTAAAATGTATAATGAAAATCTTTATTTGTCATAATGGAGAGAAAAGGGAAGGCATTATATTTAAAGAAAACAATGCCTAGTGTGTAGTAGGCATCTCTAGATGGTTGTAGAATGAGTGGATGTGTGATAGGATTAATTACATTCCTTGTGAAAGGTAATACTACCTTCATTAAAAAATGATCAGATCCTTATTTATATGGACGTTTTTATATAAAATTATATAAATAATGATCTAAATATTTTATATAAAACATATATGAACATTATTAGATGGCAATCAGAGAAGTGTCCTCAAAGTATTGATGCTGTTTTTACACTTTTTATTCAATAGTAGAAGTGCATTTCTCTAATATAATTTTCCATGGAATCTGCAGATCTGTGATTAATTCTAGCTACGTATAAGAGAGCTGAATTAGAAGTCCATGAATACTAAATATTACTATTATATTTGCCCTAGTCCTTCCATATTGATAAAGCAGTTTACTTGCTGCCAATAATCTACTTTAACTAATACAGTAAAACCTTGGATTGCAAGTAACTTGGTTTGTGAGTGTCCCGCAAGACGAGCAAACATTTCTAATACATTTTAACATGGTAAATGAACGATGTCTTGCAATATGAGTAGTTTGTTTCTAGAACAAATTATGCTCGCAAACCAAGGTATTAACTTCAGAAAAAATCTCTTTTCACCTAGATTGTTACTTCAAAAATAGTTTGCTATTTTAACAATTAGCAATTCTAAAATTCTTTATATATTACAAACTATAAATGTTGAGTTGTCTTTGGGGATCCAAGATTTTGTTCACCGTCTTAACAGAGAAGAAATATAAAACAGTAAAGCTCATTAATGAATTATGTCCCCTTTCCTTCCTAATAGAGAGAATAAAGGAAATCAAATAAGCTTTTACGTCTGTGAAATCCAGTTTTAAATTACAATCAAAACAAAACAGAAGTAAAGGCCTTTAATGAATTCTAGGGTTGTTGCCTAAACTGAGTCATCTGTCTTTGTATGTCTAGATTTGTTCTGATTAGTAAGTCACAGTCCAAATAAATAAGTAGCTAAGATTGTTTTTAGACTGCTGGTGATGGCTGTTAGTTCTGATGTACTTTATTTTTAAAATTTCTTTATTTTTAAAAATTATTTTTTATTGTGAAATACACATTCTTTAGAATTAGTTTCAGCTGTACTGATGTACTTTAAATGTAATAGTGATACATAGCTTTCTTTGAAAACAACCATATTAGTTCAGTTTTTGTTTTGAGGAATAATTTAGTATATCAGTGTCTTTAACCTGATATACTATGCCTGAGACCTAAATAATACTTTGCACAATGACGTCATGCTCAAAATTGCAATATTACTATTATTATTTTTATAAAGAGCTCAATGACACATTGAAATTCAATTAATACCATTTTCCACAGAATCTGTCTTCTCCAAGGGACTCTCTGTGAAAAAGTACATAAGGACAGAAATAGGAGGAATTACATCTGGGAGGGTGCATTTTCAACCATGGGACGAGAGTGGCTATTCTTACCACTACAGTGCAGCTCAAGTCGGTTCTAGTCGGCAACATTCTCTCAAAACTAGGAGCAAAGGAAGCCTAGGAAACAGTGTCGGTATTGGTTGCGTCAGAGGGCCACATGAGCAAAATGGTTGTGTTACAATACTTTAGAGTATAAAATGCACTCTTTTTGGGTCTGTTCCTAGGTTTGAGGTGGCAATGACCAGAGAGTGGTTACACCACTTTGAAGGCAGCGGCGTCCCATATGGCCCAATCAACAATATGAAGAATGTATTTGCAGAACCACAGGTTTGTTTTTTGAAGTTTTTAGTACGCCGCCGTTAAAATCATGGTTAAAACATTTGCCTCTGTTTTCTATCCAGATTTATTCATATACATGTACATTAACCACTGATCTTGTACTTTAGTTATATAACATGATTTTTTACTGTTACATTAAACTGTGGGTCTGAAATACAAAGAATCAGAGTTTAGAACTGGCTGCCTGTCATCATGTTTTATGTTAATCAGATATAACATATTTCTTCAGCAGCCTACATAAAATTTCCAAGATCAGTACATTTGTTTTTCCTGAAAAATAGAAATACAGACCACTGAGAGGTTGGGGTCAGACACTCAGAGATCATTCTCTGTAGAAAGAACTATGAGAACTTTCACAGTTACAGCCCACCTCTCATAGGTACAAAGCAAGTCATAGTTCGTTCTGCAAATGAGAGGCTTTGATTTGATATGCTTTGATTAATGTGCATTATCCATGAAGAATAAATTGTACTTGAATAGAGATTTGTGCTGTACATTGATAACAGGCTCCTTTGTGGGGTCCAGAAATAAGGATCAACTGAAAAAATGTTTCATGTAGAACATTGTTGAAATGATTATTTTTAGATGTTGTCAAAATAATTTTTTATTTTATTACTTTAATATCCCTGAAAACATTTTACCATTTCTGAGATTCACATAATCCTGAAAGGTAGAGAAACTCCATTTTTCTGTGAAGCTTTCACTATGATTATTTACATATCTTTTTAGTCTCCAACATTTAAAAATTATAGGGTTTTAGACAAATACTTTTCATTTATAAAGTGGCAGATTTTTCTTTGAACTGAATTGGAATACTGAAGATGGAATACGTTTTTTTTAAGAAAGGAGAACTTTCTTGAAAACTGATTTAATCCTCTAACTTTGGTACCTTTATCTTACATGAATATCTATTTGAAACAGAACTGAAATATATTTAATTTAGTATTTACAATATTTGCTGGAGAAAAAAAGTGAATGAATTCAGGAATTCTGCTTTGTGCTGGTTTTTTTTTTCTGCTAAGATTGTGACTATGGCGAGGCTTTGTTAATAATAAAACAATGGTCAATGAGCATTTGAGATGAAGGCGCCCACTCGATATGTACTGGGTTGGTGTGAAAGGGTCCCCACCACATCAGTGGATTTAATGCCTGGTGATTCCTTGCGATGATGTCGCAGTGTGCACACGCTGAAAGTAGTAGACCAGAAAGCCAGTTTTCTCATTTCATAACTTTGAATGAGGCAATGCTTTGGCATTAAGCTGTTGTGGGGGAATGGGTGGGTTTTATTATTACTTCTCTGCTTTTTTAAAAGGGTCACTGAGATATGTAGGGCTTCACATTTAACTCAGTTTGAGAGCACATTTCTCTAGAGATATTTCCTAAGAGTCTTTCCAGTAGCATTTCTGTTGCTCCACCTGTGTTTTATCAGGGATAATGTCATCAAAGTAAAGAATGTTATTGTACAAATTATTAGATATATTCTAACAATACTTACTTTTTATGGACCAGGATCCAAGTTCCGACCGAGTACCTTAAAATTGTTCACTTTATGGGCTGGTTCAGAATGAAGATGGGATAATTAGAATTTCCATTCCCAATTTTCTCTTGTAGCTGAGTTTAATTACTTTAACCTTTATATCTCACTTCGTTTCGATCTGCAAGGAATTTCTATTACTGGTCTGTGGCATATTTCCAGTACTTAGCCCATCTTCCAAATGCAGAATTTTGATATATCACCTAAGCCAGGATACCAACTTTTCTTTCTATCGCAACGTCTCTGAAAACTGCCATTTTAGACTTCAAAAAATAGGTCCTAATTGTTACAATTCTAACCTCAAAAAGCCTTAATCATGCAGTGATAGTTGTTGACAATTTCACTTTAGTTGCAAGAGTAGAGTTGGACTCTCATATATATAATTTTATTCTTCTTTGTAATTTAAATGCTAAAATGTATTTATAAATTTATCTGATTTTTACTAAGCCTAGAGAGCAATGTAGTAGTATTACATTTCTAAATAAGCGAAGATGACTATGACAATTTTAAGTAGGACTTTTCCTGAACTAGAGGCAAGGGTACCATCTCTCCTGTGCTTGGGAATGTTTGACTCCTTTAAAAAGAAGTCCATATAATTTTAAATTTTGAAAGGAACGTAGAATGTGAAAAGATCAGGGAGTTAAAAAAAATTGTGTAAAATAAATTATTAAAAAAACACACCACACCTTAAAATGACACCTAACAGATGTCAACTTTGAAAGTGTATTCAGCAAATCTTTACTGTACTTTCTATGGACTACTTGCTAGATATTTAGCATGGGCTTAGTAATTCTCTTCCTTTCTGAAAAATTCAAAATTGACTTAAACATCAGGTACACAATAAATATTTGCTGATGCACGAATGAACAAATTAATGAGTTGGTTCTCTGCATGATATAGATTTTCTCAACAGTCAAGTGGCCACTGTGCGCCCTTAGTGGAGCTGACAAGCTCTGTATCTGAGGTCTGACTGGAAAGCCTCTGGTTGAAAAGCTTAGGGATTAAGCATAACATAATGGTTAAGACCATGGAGTCTAAATTGCTGGGCAGTTGTATAAACGTTCTAGGCTTCAGTTTCTCCAGGTGTAAAGTGGTGAGATGGGATCTTGTCTCTATATTTTTATAAGTGTTAAACGAGGTAATGTTTATTATGGGCACATAGCAGGGATTGCTAAGTGGTAAATGCTCAATGAATGGTAGTAGCTCTGGTTTTGATGGTTCCCTTTATGGTTAGATTTTTGTTAAAAAACACTTCCTTTTACTTACCTTTGTTTAGTGGATCGAGGCAAATCCAGTGTAGTATGAGGATAGGGATCATCAGCTTAAAATTGAGCTCTAACAAATATCCCTTTAAGAAAATGCATCTGCAAACTCTGTGCCAAGTTCTCAACCCTTCGTCATTTCTGATTACCGAAAATCCTTTTATTTTTCATTTTCCATAAAAGTATAATTTTCATTTATGGTGGCCTCCCTTGTTTTTCCCCTGATGAGCTGTGCAGTTTCTTGGCCCTGGGTGCGTGGAGCCGGCACTTGTGTTCAGATGTGGGGCCGCGCTGCTGGCGCCCACGACCGGCTCTTCATGTGCGTGCGCCGCGCCAGCACAGCTGTTAGTTCAGCTGAAAATTGATTTGGGTGAAGTACAAGGCCTGGAACATGGCGCAGGAAGTGAGACTTTGATGAAGTGCAAGGGGGTATGTCTAATCAAAAAAATTAAGAAAAGATTAGAAGCATCAAAAAATACGAAAGCGTTTCCTGTGGGCCTACTTACCAAGTGGACCATTTACATGTCATTTGTGGTTTACATTTCATCTCGGTAGACAACAGAAATTTACTGATGGTAGTAACTATTTATAACCTAAATAATTTCATCATTGTCTCATGCCTGGAGAAAACTTGATTTTTTGTCTCAGTTGACACGACAGATGATTTCTCTTTCTTTGACAGATAAAAGGTTCTCTACTTTTCATCCTCTGATTACATGCCTTAGACCTTTGGACAGTTAAACTGATCCTACAGGCATCCACTGTTAAGTCTGTCAAGAATACTATAGGGGTTTTGGTCTGTATTTACTGATACCTCTGAGAAGTTGTGATCCCAGATTCTTCCAGTGGTAGTGTTGTTTTGTCTCTCAGTGATAAATTATCTGTTGAAAACCCTTTGCATTGTAGAAGTGTAATATAGATTATCTGCATATAGATTTTAATGGTCATGTTTCCAAGTGCTTTCTTAAAATATTTTCTTTTAATCAGGCCAAGGTTGTGCAGTACAATAAGTGAATTCTTAAAAAGCTTAAAAAACATTAGATGACCTCAGTATGGTCCTATTTAACAGACCCTTGGGAACATATGCATGAAATACATTGTGGTTTGAGGTTTTCCAACCCAAACAACTTAAAAGAAAATGCAGCTTTTAATAGAAACTATTCAATTTCCTGTAAAAATAGGTATGGATCTCACCACTGAGAGGATTTAGAAGGATCATTATCTATGACGAGAATCTAAAGAGAATGTGTTATTCTGCCCTTTGTGTTTTGTATGTTGGATGATTCTAGTGTGTCACCGTCTTTGAATGAACTGCTCAATTAAAAAATATATATATCATATATATATATATATGATATATATATATATATATCATATATATATATATATATATGATTAAACCTCTGATGAATGTTTTTCTTTCTTCTTGACACTGCGACCTTCGGGTGGGGAGGAGAGGGCAAAAGGTGTCACAAAACTGGTGTTAATATTTAATAGTCTTCACATTTGTACCACACAAGTTGAATACATCAGGTGTAAGACATCACCCTGAAGCATCACTTCTGAGAACTATTGGGAGGGAAATATCAGAACTGAAATATCACAGCTGGCCCTGATTTATACTGGTGCCAAACACCTGCAGACTCTAAGAGGATACCAAAACAAAACCCCACCCGGTGGCAGCCAGCCAGCCCCTAACAACCCTTCCTTAACTTTGCATCACCATCAAAATTAATTTAACATTTTCTACGGAAAACTTATTCTTCCTGTCCCAGAAGGCCATTACATCTCCCTCAGCAAATCTTTCATATGGGATAAATATGTCATAGAAACAAACTGAGTGAAGTATTGAAATGTTTGATAGCTTAAAATTATTTGTTGTTTTCATATCATAATTTGTGGAAATTTGTGAGGTTTGAGGTTTTATTAATCTCTAGGCTAGCTCATATTCCCTAAGTGATTTTGTTTTAGTACATTTTGGCAAAATATCTGAGTATCTGGGAAAAAAGAAGCCTTCAATATTCATATAATAAGTGCCAGAAGCACCCCAAAACATAGACCTGTTTTTCAAGCCCTTCTAATGCACACACACACACACACACACACACACACTATTGATTCATTTTAAAGATTAGCATATGAATATTAGTTAATATTTATTGAAATGCAGTTGCATAGCCCTGGCAGGGTTA